CAAAGCAAGTGATGATGATGACGATTCATCATCGCTTTCTTTAAAACTCCTCCGAGAAATCATGAATTTCTGGTCATGTTTGAAAATCCAGCAACAATCTCCTCTTCCAATAGTCCTCATCTTCGTAAATCCGGTAGCAAATCTGTTTTCGTTGATCCTGGTAAGCCCCCAGTTTCAATCTCACTTCTAATTACAATGTTCTAGATGCCAATCTGATTCGGTACAAAGAGATCTAGTCCCTTGTGATTTCTTTCTTCATTACTTTTTGTGTGTGGTGGTTTCAGGTGTAAACGGACTTCTAGGTAGTGTATCAGAAATGGGTGACCTTAAAGGTTCAAGCTCACCACTTCATATTACAACAATGGTTCCTTCTCCAATTTTCCTCTGGAGATTTAAGGTTCGCTTTTGTTAAGATTTATACTTTGATCAAGCCTTTCTTTTTTTTTTGCTTACATTGAATCAAAACACTTTTCAGGTTGTTTTGTTTCTTTTTTGGGCTTTATGTTGCTGCAAGGTATGTTCTTTTGTTTAATTTTATTCAGTGTTCAATGTGAATTTTGGATCTTTTTTTGAGGACTTTTGTTTATCGTGTTTGAACAGATTGGATGGGATTCAGTCATGAGAATGAGCATAGACTTGCGAGATTTATTTTTGTACGAAGCATTTCTTTATTACAATCCTCTTCTTCTTGTGGTAAGTTTGAGAGTCTACTCTCTTTTGGCCTTTAAGAACCTCTTTCTCTTCTGATTATTATATCTTCTCTCGGTTTTGTGGCCTTTTGAATACTTTAGACTATGATGGTTTGGCTGTGGGGAGTGAACTTGTGGGTGTTCTCTCAAGGAAGTGTCAATTATGCCAAAGTATTTGATCTCGACCATAACCACCTTACTCATAGAGAGATGTGGAAGGTATTTAATTTCAATATAAGTCCTTATTTTGTTTGGGGTTTCTTCATTGGAAGATTGTTTTCTATTTCTGTATTGTTCTGAGTTCGTATGTGGATCTTGTTGTTTCTCTGTTGTGTAATTTTTGGCTGCAGTGTAGTATGTGGTTGACAATCATTGTCCCAACTAGCATGACCGCATATCTATATCTGTATTCTCATGGGGAAGTATCTTTGGCTGCTTCACAACCGGTAAGCATCTACGCCCTAGCTTTATGTCCTCCTTATAATCTTTATTCAACAACTTATGTTTATTGCTTACCATGTTTTCTCTTTATATGCCATATAAATCTGCTAAAGTATGCCTAATGTTTATGTTTTCACTGTGTGCAGGTGCTCCTGTACATTGCTTTTGCTTTGGTTCTGATATTTCCCTTCGATATTTTCTATTTGTCAACTCGATATTTTCTGCTGAGAACGTTATGGAGGATTGCTTTTCCACTGCAGGTAAAGTGATAGACAGCTGCAGATTGAAATTAGTGTTATGCTTAAGTATTGCTGTGTGGGTTTGTTCATACTCGTCCATTATATTGGGCTTATAATATAAATTCATTTAGCATGGAGATCTGATGCGAGTTTTCTGTTTCACAGCCAATTACATTTCCAGACTTCTTTTTGGCAGATATTCTGACCTCGATGGTAAAGGTATGAAATTTTATATAGATCTGTGAGAGCTTCATAATTTCTAATAATTATGTGATACGAAATATGTTGTTAGGAATTCGAATATTGGTAGTGTTACTGGTTTTTTATTTGACCAACGGATGGAATTGATTCCACATCTCTCTTTTGCATTTTATTTGGTGCTGATAGCTATTGTTCTGCTGATACTTGATTCTCATTCATGATTGGGACTGGTAATTATGCAGGTGTTTTCCGACTTAGAGCGGTCTGTTTGCCGGATGGTGCACAAACAGGTACATTGGTTTTGTCAGTCAAATCATTATTTGTGACATCCAATATAGATTAGAAATCTGTTATGCTGGAGGAATAGTTCCATTAACAAATAGATCAATCTGTAGAACGAAATATTTATGCTCCAAGACTGACAAAAGCTGTTATATGATATATCAGCTAATTATTCGCTAGCCTAGTTTTTTTTATGAACCAATGGAGTCCTGGTTCTCTGCCCAACCTGCTGGGGTTTCAAACCGTGTTGTTTGTTCTGAGATGATGGGATATATTAGCTAATTATTTGTTAGTATAGTATTCTGATGAACCAATGGAATCCTGCTTGTATGTTCAACCTGCACGGAATGTTGTGTGTTGTGAAATGTTGGGATATATGAGGTTAAAGAGGTTTCCCGGAATTTCAGGTCGCAACAATTGCTTGGTTTGAAGCCGACGCTGTATGTGGCAGTCATCAAATTGCAATCCCTTTGGTTCTTGTTTTCCCCTACATTTGTCGTCTTTTGCAATGTCTTCGACAGTACAAGGATACAAAGGAAAAATCATCTCTTTTAAATGGTAAAAGCCTATTCTATGAGCATCGATATTAAATTTTCCCACATTATTAAGAAAGATTCTTGTTTTCTATCATCCATCTTATAGATGATTTGTGATTTATTCAGCTTTGAAGTACTCAACAGCAGTGCCTGTGATCTTCCTCTCTGCGCTTAAATACCATGTGATGCCCGAGAGCTGGACATCATTTTACCGACCTCTCTGGCTATTCTCAAGCGTCATCAACTCACTTTACTCATTCTACTGGGATGTAACCCGAGATTGGGACTTGAGGTAATAAGTGGAAACCTTATCCTTCTCCTAACCACTAAACAGTATTTGCAAACTTTTTTCATATCACATTTCTTTCTTTTGTGCAGCGGTTTCACTAAAATATTCAAGTTTAGCCGACCAAGTTACATATCAACTCTGTTATATGGCCGGCAATGGGTGAGAATCAGTTTCCGATGAAACAGCCTTGTGTTTTCTTCGTATTGTGATGTTTGAAACTGTTGAATGTTACGAGGTTGCAGGTGTATTTCTGGGTGATAGGGAGCAATCTGGTGCTGAGGTGCGCATGGACATACAAATTATCGGCACATTTGAGGCATAACTACATAACGGTGTTCACAATAACAGCCTTGGAGATGTTGAGACGGTTTCAATGGATATTTTTCAGAGTAGAAAACGAATGGAACAAGATCACAAAATCACATCCAATGGGTGAGATTTCACTTGAAGAAGAGAAACTACTTGGTTCTACTACAACCCATGATGTTTAGAATCCCACCTTTTCTTTTTCTTTTCTATGGTTTTTTTTTTCTAGCTTTTCGTATTGGTCCACTCGATCTCTAGTCACTTTCTTGATATATAGTGCACATTTTTCAAAATTTGAACAAAAAAATTTACTCCTATGACATTTTAATGGGAAAGTCGGTTTACATACATTACAACATACAGAATATATATTTTGATCATGAGCAGAAAATATCACATACAGGAATCAACTAAAGGGTTTTTAATGAGAAAATTCCTTAACTATTGTTTGATCCATTATAAATCCTTTAACTAAATATTAAAACTCAACTAAAATATTTTAATAAAAAAACTTCTCAACTACAAAAGGTTTAATGAGAAAACCTTTCAAATAAAGTTCCGGTGATAAAAAAAACCTCTCATTCTATAGTAATGTTAATATACTAAACAATTGCTATTAAATTGATTATTTTTTATTTTTAATTGATTGTATCGTGTTTCCATTGTTGTTTTT